AAAAAAAAAAAAAAAAAAACGAAATAGAAAACTCAGCGTAATTGTCAATACAGACGAGGCTGAATGTGGACCCCACACCAACCCGCCTTCTGAAATATGGCCACGGCCAGATTCCAGTGGAAAAGCTTAACCGTCAGCGCTAAAATTTGGGAGCTGCAAAGGCAATGTGCAGTTTCTTTCATCAACGTGACTCGAGAAAAAAAACCTGGGGTACTTTGCAGAACCAAATTTTTCCACTCTCTTGACTTCTACCCCCCTTGACATCGCTGGCGATGCTTTCCTGTCCTTATGAGTGATCAGGATAGTCGATATCACTGTATTTCAAAATGGCGTCTACACTCCGCCCACTCTGGCGCCCTTTCCGGCATATTCGTTCTCTATCGACCACATCTTCCTCTCCTCGTCACCTTCTCTCCATTTCCAATCTCACTCCCCTGGAACTGAGGACGCTGGTGAACAATGCTACTGCCTACAAACACTCCAAATTTCCTGCCACATGGCCTCTTCGCAATGCTCTCTCAAATAAGACCATTGCTCTGCTATTCTCCAAACGCTCGACCCGTACAAGAGTATCGTCTGAAGGTGCCGTTGTTGCCATGGGAGGACATCCGATGTTCCTGGGAAGAGACGACATTCAATTAGGCGTGAATGAATCACTATATGACAGTTCGGTTGTGATTTCAAGCATGGTGTCCGGAATGGTGGCGAGAGTGGGCCCGCATGCGGACATTGCAAACCTGGCAAAAGATTCTTCAGTGCCAGTCATCAATGCGTTATGCGATACATATCATCCGATGCAAATCATCGCGGATTTGGCAACCTTGACACAAGCTTACTCCACGTCAGCGGAACAACTCCAGGGCTTGAAGATCGCCTGGGTCGGAGATGCAAACAACGTCTTATTCGACATGTGCATTGGTGCGCGAAAGCTGGGGATTGACATGGCAGTAGCAACACCCCGGGGCTACGAAATTCCCCCGAAGATCAAACAGGAAATTGACGCCGCTGGACCGGGGAAACTATTCGAGACCAACGTCCCCGAAGAGGCCGTCAAAGAAGCCAACGTCATCGTCACAGATACCTGGGTATCAATGGGTCAGGAGGACGAGAAAGTCAAACGCCTCAAAGCATTTGCAGGATATCAAGTGACGGAGGACATGGCACGGAGGGGAGGAGCTGCTCAAGATTGGAAGTTCATGCATTGTCTACCTCGGCATCCTGAGGAAGTGAGCGATGAGGTGTTTTATGGCAAGAGATCTCTGGTGTTCCCTGAGGCAGAGAATAGGTTGTGGTCGGCGGTTGCGACGTTAGAGGCGTTTGTGGTCAATAGGGGAGAAATCAAGAAGGCTGATGAAGGCTCCTAGAAAAAGAAAGCATTGATGATAGGTGATGATAAAGGGCATGAATATTTATCGAAAAAGACTGGGGTTGTCGTATAGAGGCGTTTGGGATTCTGTGCCCTCCAAAAGTTCAAACATAAAATGCTAAGTACCAAATCAATACACTGCAGATGGAAGACCAATTACTGACAAGGTCAGAGACTTAGCTTGGTCCGTCAGAACATGGGGGTTGGGGCCATCCCCGCAACCCACCTCGAACTTGACGTTCTTCAGACATTTGTCTTCATCTCCAGTTCCAGCTTCTAGATTCTAAATCGCTGACGTCTTGCTCTCTTCTCCTCTTTCATTCCTCTTTCCTACCACACTCACCATCGCTGACGCCGGCTCCTCCAGCCTGAATTGAGTGGAGCATTGAACAAATCCATGGAAGTACGTCGACGTCTCCCATTTGTTCTTCCCATCCCATCCCATCCCTTCTCTCTTCACATAGACCATTTGGCTTTATGTTCTCTCCTATCTGACTTCCTGTGCAACACAGTCTCCTTCACTATCTCGTTCCTCCTCATTTGCTCCTGGCCCACACCGACGTTCACACCCGAATCTTCACCACCTATCCCTCGCACCTTTAACACCAAAATATCCAATTGATCCCGCCGATTACGCCGCCTACTTTGACCCAGCGACGTCGGAACTACACCCGTCGGCGTCTATCTCCCAAATTGCCAGCCTGCCGTCTCCAGGTGGAATTTTGGCCACTAGCCACTCAGCAGCGCATTCGCGAGCGAGTTCGCGGACAAGATTGAAGAAGAAGACGCGCTCGAATGTATCGATTGCAGCAGCCACTTCGGACGCCCATGGCCACCTCACCCATACCCCCTCAGGCGCATTGACCAGCGAAGGATTCGGACACAAGAAGGCGGCAAACACAAATATGATACACGTGCATAGATCGGATTCATCGTGGTTGATCCAGACTGGGCTGGCGTTGACGGAAGGGTCACGGGAAAGTAAAGGACAGTCATGGATTTCCAAACGAGACTCGTCGACGTCGTTGCATACGCCTGTAGATGAAAGACCGGCGCTACGATCAGGGAGGGCCACGCCGAGTGTCAGTCGCAGAAGCAGTCAGCGGAGGAGTAGGAGATCACTGGCGATGACTCCGGTGCCGTTCACACCCGTCGTAGATGAAGCTGCCCCAGATTGGGCAGATGCTCAGACACAAGCAGAGATTGCTGCACGGGTCGAGAACGACTTGGCCGATGAGTTCGACGAGGACCCATATGGCATTCTGGACTTTGAAGGACAATTTGATAGTGAAGATGAAGAAGATGTACGCAAGGAAATTTCAAAATATCGACTGGGAAGATGGATGGATGGACTTGTGGATGTTTTCCTTCGATTGGAAGATTTTCCTGAATCTCTCTCTGCGGATTTGGAGGCTGGAAATGCTCAAACACAAATGCCTTTACCCGGTGCTCCGGCTGTTAAGGAGGCCGATACTGCTAGTTTGATATCTGACAATCCGTCAGTGGAGACACCTCCCGAAAAACCAAATGGTGTCTGGGATGATGTGGCTTGGTTTGGTCGTATGATAGTGAAGACTGTGCGGTCATAGCGTAATACCAGGCCGAGAAGGCCATAATGCAAACCCTTGACCCCTTGAATAGCCGCTTCATATTCTTTCCCATTGTCTTTCCTCAGCCTGACAATTCGACAGTATTTTCCTCACGGCGAGTCTTCTTTGGTGCAGCAATGACAGTGAACTCTTCATCATCGTCACCTGCTTCTCTTTTGATCACAGCAAGCTGTCATAGGGTTCTCTCTGCTTGTTGATCTTCTGCTTCACGGCATCGAGTTCAGCCTATCATTAAGTATGAGCATGGTTCACATATTTTCGGCGGTATTAAAGAACATACGTGTTGTCGGCGAAGAAGCTCAAGCATCTCTTCTCCAGCGAAAGATTCTAGATCTCTTTCTTCCAACGAAACAGGAGAATGGGATCGTGAAAGGATTCCGATACTCTGCAAAGCTTCTATGGGGTAACCAGTAGTATTGAGTCACGTATTTTGAAGTTCCACATATTCTTTCTTCGATGTTCGAAGATGAAGGTTGCGTAAGGCTGCGGATCGATATTTTCGCCTTCCCAAAATTCACTGAAAGATGACGGGTGAGATTGTCCGGCCAGACCAATCCCACAACAAACTTCCACTACGATCGCTCTAGGGTTTTGGTATTTATCCTCGTCCTTGCCCTTGCCCTTGCCATTTCCGTCGACTAGAGATATCAGCAAGCCTCAGATTATGATAGGAAAGGAATAGGCCAAATGAGATATCGTTTCACCGAAGGTTTCGGACCATGATCACTCCAATTTCCACTACTTCCTCTCCTTCCAGCGTTGACTAAAAGTTCCCCTTCTCGCCTTTGTAATCTGCTTCGTTGTAAACACGTCCTCCCATGCGGTGACCATCGACGTACATAGTGAAGCTAATCGTGTTTACTTTGTTGAGGCAATGCCCCGGTCTGATTGCAAGATTGTTATGGAAATTGGCGTTGGATACTGTTTCGATGTATTTGACCGCTGTATCGGAGGTATCAAGCGAATTGGGGCTCCAGTTAGGGTTGTCTTTCCCAGGGATGGGTAGATATTCCTCCAAAACCCGGCCTCCGCTTGAGATCGTATCCTTGACACTTTCTTGATGACAAGCCATCTTGGGTGAGGCAGATACAGATTCTCCAGTGTGAGAGGGATAGGATCACGCTCACCATCAGTGAAATGGCACAAAAATAGAGGAAGCCGCGAGGCTTGAGGGACGAAGGACGTGGAGTATCAAGACAGTGGCATGACAAGATGTGAGGGACTGTCAGTAGAGATCTGACAAGAACAAGCACGAATGAGAAGAGAAACCCCGGAATTGCACTTTGCATTGGCGTGTACATGAGAATCAATTTTCCATTGAGCTGCGGGCTGGGTGTGAAAGTGAACAAAACATCGAGAGAACTCGAAGTCCAAGATCGAGGTTGAGTGTTTTGGAGGCGAAAGAGAGGAGTTCTAAAGGCAAAGAACACGAGCGAAAACCTACAGTACTTTACGCGTCCTGCGGACCGACGCGTGACGCCATTCGTAGCTTGGGTCGCAGCCTTATTGGCGTCATCTGCCGGCCTTCCGTCACTTGACCACAATGCCGACCATGTAGAAGTAAATAAACCAGACACCCTCCCCCGACTGTCTCGCAGCCTCCTGCATCCTCTATCCTCTATCCACGATGCGACCCTTGATTCTGCTCGCGCTACTGCCCCTCGTTGCTGGCTGGGGCAGCCTGGGTCATCGCACCGTCGCCTACCTTGCCAGCATGTACTTTACCCCCTCCTCGACCCGGTTCACCAACTTCCTGCTCCACGGCCAGGATATCTCGGAGGCAGCTCTGTTCCCCGATAAAGTGCGACACATGCCACAATTCGCCTACTCTGCCAGCTGGCATTACATCGACGCACAGGACGACCCGCCGCGACAGTGTGGAATCAACATGACCAGAGATTGCCTTGAGGAAGGTTGTGTCGTCAGTGCCATTGCAAACCATACCGGTCGAGTGGCAGATCCTTCTCTACCGAGGTTCTACCGCGGCCAAAGTTTGAGATTCATGATACATTTCTTTGGAGATGTACACCAACCTTTGCACACCGAGGCGGAGGAGAGGGGGGGAAACGATATACTGGTCATGTTTGATGGAAGACACACCAATTTACATAGTGTCTGGGATACTCTCATCCCCAACAGGTATGCCGGAAGGGATGATGAATTTCTGGCCGCGTGGGAATGGGCACGGGCCTTGTATGATGATCGGCCACTTGATGAATGTATGACTGATGCAGCTGAGTGTGGACTTTCCTGGGCCAGCGAAGCAAATGCGTATGTGTGCTCATATGTATTAGCGGAGCACGTCGGTGGTCGAGATCTTGGAGGGGATTATTACGATGGGGCGATACCTATAATCAATGACATGATTAGAAAGGCCGGCAGAAGATTAGCAGCATGGATCAACTCTATGACAGATACTGCATTGCAAACTCAATAGGAGGTATCTTGACAACTTCGATCTCTGCCTTTGACTTTGTCTCTTCAATGTCCTCGTCGTCCGAGTCCAGATGATCGACTGTCTCTCCGTTCATTCCTTTGCTCGTCTTCAGTGGTCTGACACTTGCAAAGCCTCCACTGCGCTCTCGTTTGTGTGTATCTTTCGCTCATGTTTGATTTTGCGCTGCTCTGGGGGCACGGCCAGGTTCGTTCACACAAATTTGCGAATCCACCTAAGCAGTTCAGGCGAGCCAGGTCTTCAATTGGTCGGATCTTCCGGGGGGGCACAGTTGTGGGGATCTTTCGATAATCAGTAGGGATTGGAGCGCTCCTGTTGTGAGGTCCGCAAGATGCATAGCACACGTGCGTCGGGTTCGATATTTGTTGCCAAGGGGGTTGCGTCCGTCTTCTGTTCAAGGGGCGCGACTGCAAGAACTCGGTACAAGCTAATGATTTCCTGAGGACAGAATTATCCAGACCAACCGGGTTGCCACGTTTAGCGGTTGACCTTTCAAGGTCTTTTTCTGGTATAGGCTTCGGTTTCCTTCGTGGTGTAAGCTCCAATTCGCTCTGAATCGATCACCTTTTCCCGGCGAATCTCAACTCGAAACGTGCTAAGATTACCATATTTCTCCTTAGGCTCGGATGGGTTATCGACATTTTCCATATCCTTTGGGTTGATTAGCTTTGGCGGCAATATAGTTGTGCAGCTACTTACGTGTTTCCAGATTAGCAAATGGGGATTAGTAGGGCCTTGTGCCAGTCGTCTCCCGTGAATGTCTACCATCCACGACTACCTGACGGTCAGATCTTTCTGCGCCGCCATTGCGAAGCGTAGGTAAGGAAGGATGGCTACGGGAGATGGGAAGAGACCATGATATCAGACCAAGGAAAATATTGAAGTCAGACTGGAGGAAAGGTTAGACTGAGGCAGCCGCGGCTCCGATGATGGCCCGTTGTCCAATATTCTGCCTTGATCCTTGACTCGATATAGTCGCCCACTAACACCATTAGTAATAGGTCGTACGATTAAAGGCCATTTCTCGCTTCCATCGCCTTCGCGGCCATCTCTTCTCCTTGCTCGTCAACGATCCCCCTAACAATTCTTTCTGCGGAGGTGACCAACCCTCCATAATGATCTTCCATTCTTCCTTTTTCGACAAATGTCTTGAGTTTGATCTGCTCCTTTTCAAGATCCTTGCGGATTCCATCCACTTCATTCTCTGCAAATCGCCCTTGTAGACTGGTAGGAAATGCATCACGCCCCAGGATATCCTTGGGGGAGAGTAAATCAACACGCGTGCCCTCAATTTCATCCAGCATGAAGACTTGCTGTATCACTTGGAACAAACTGGTCTGTTGCATTTCGCTCTCCACCCGTTGATCATCCTTGCCACCAGTCTCGTTCAGGAGTATCCAATCATCTCGAATCATCGCTCTTCTCCAGATCAGACCCCGAAGATCATCTTGTTGAGTAGCTGGCAGTCCAGAAATATCCACCACCTTCAGGGCAAGTGCAAAGTCCTGCCCACTGACTTCTGGATCATCTTCTGGAAGTCCAGCCCACTCAACAGGATCCATCAGAGTCAAAAGGTCAACTAACTCCTCTGCAGAAAGGGGTGTATGGCGCAATAGAGATTTCAGGATCTGCCTCAGTTGTCTTCTCAATGCAGGAGACTTGGCCACCACGCGCGAGGAGAAATTTTCGATGGCAAGATCATTCGCTGCCTTATCATCCAGTGTCGGACCAATCGACGTAAGGACGTGGATGTGAATTCGTTCCTGGATGTCAATCATGGCCAGGCCATTATCATACCGCTTCGTGTCAGGTCGACTATTGTTGAACCCCTCACTTGCCGCCAAAGTCGCTAATTTCGCGAGTGCTAGTTCCGTTTTCTTGTTCCACATGTCATCCAGTTCTTCATCGGCGACATTTTGCAGAGTTTTCCCGGCTCGAGAATAATTACCAGTGGCAACGACGTCGTGGATCCAGCTGAGTTTGCCAACGTTTTGACCCCGTTTTTGGGCCTTTTTGAAGAACCACGAGAGGAATTTTTCCTTCTTTTCATCTTCCTGGCCTTTAAGCAATAGACTTCCACATTCATCATCCGCAATCATTTGACTGAAGTAAGCGTAGGCCCAAGGATTACCAAACTCGTCAAAATATGTCTCGGCATGATTTTGCATCTCATTCAGTTTTCGACTATTAATCTCCTCCAGTGAAGGATCGGCCGCCGCCTCCGCTGTCAGTTGCTCATAATAGGCGTAATGCAGAGTGACAAGCATTCCACAGTCTCGCAGTTTCTCAGCTAGTTGAATCGCTCCCGGCATGTTGAATGTTGAAATGACTTCCAATGCTTGACTGAGTCTGTCATGCTTTTCTTTCTTGATATTTCTAATTTCGTCCCGGTAGACTTCAGGGTCCTTTTCGACTACTTTGAGGTGGCAGTCGGCTTGAATAAATTCCTCAGTCGCCATTCGGGAGAATAGTTCGACGTCGATTGGCAGACGCGCAGCGAGCTCTTTAAGAGCAGTTCTGCTAGGTGCGTCATAGGGCTTTCCATCAAGATCCGTCGGCATCTTTTTCTTCTTGTTTCTCCCCAAGCTGAAGTCCCACCATTCATGCAAAAACTTGCAAATATCATAGATGAGACGCTGGCCAAAGCGGAACGGTTCGGGGCTCGATGTCCATGGATGGGGCAGATCGACTGGAAATCCGGACATGAGAACGCCATCTTGGAAGACTTCGTCGCCGAGCCCATAGATAGGAGCATTGTCTTCGCGAAATTTGAAAGCCGCGGTATACGATGCAATCCACAAATCAACAGCTTCTCTGAAGTAATCGGCAACGACCTTCGGATCTGTGACATCCATTGGTTCCAGCTCCGGTATACAACTGACCAGCTCCGACATTAAGTGGTCAACATGATCAACACTGTTGACCAGCCAATGTCGTACTCGGTCCTTCTCGCCTCTTTCTGGATCAGGGTATTTCTGACGGGATTCATGCAAGGCTCGTAGTGTGAAATCAAGATAGGACATTTCACGGTCACCTAGAGGATATTTTCGTTGAATTTCTTCTTGGACCTTCCAAATTGCTTGAGCCGCCGCCAGTTTCTCGGCATTCAACAAGAGCTTAAAACGGGTCAGGCGAGAAATTGCAGAGGGATAATGGTCCATCAAGTGTTGCGCTAGGTCATCGAGAGCTTTGGCTCGAAGTCGCATTTGCATATCAATCGAGGGCGCGCTCTTTGGAAGATGTTTGGATGACGACGTGAGGATTTCGGAACTGATATCGATTGCGGCTTGTTCAATTTCATCGGAAGGGAATGATTGGCTGATAGTTTTGAGATCGAGAGGATTTTGTTTGACACTGCCAAAGAATACTGCTTGTTCGATTTTGCTTTTGGCACTGATTCGATCCTCAAGGTCGCCTGCTTCCAATTCTTCGAGATCGCGAAGATGAGAAGTCAATTTCACCATGCCAAACCCTTGCACGCCAAACACGATGGAGGGCTTTCTGTCCGACGTTTCCAGCGCATATCCGAGAACCTTATAGATGGCTCCACTTTGAAATCGAATACAGTCTTGGAAAGGTTCTGGAAGCGCTTGTCTTTCCATCAATAATTGAGAGGATGGGGACTCTCTTATCTTTGCGAGAGAGAATAAGACGATGGCAGTCTCAAAAAGGATGAATGCCACGGGTTGTGACCTTGCAACGCACAAACGGGGCCTCCAGGAATGTTGCTCCGCAGTTGACGAGTAATAGCATGTGATGGGATGGACCACTTTAACTTTCGCCTCTTGATCCACCACCATTTCAACAATGCCGTAGTTGGTCTGTTGCCCTGTTGTCACCGAGACAAGAGCCGTCATGGGAACACCAACATTTCCTCGTCGACTCAGCGGTACACTTGGTCCCACGGAAAGTTCCAGGTCAAGGATCTTGAAATCAAGGCCTTCGGTCAGCCATATTGGCTTAAGTGCTTCAACCAGCCCTTCTTTGAAGCTGAAGGAAGTTTCGAGTGAGTTGCCGACACTCAAATTAGTGTTCCAAAATTCCAATTCGGCATCTTCAGTGGCAATGATAACATCTCGTTGCCCTTTGCGGGAACCGCCCGCCTTGACAATGGGTATACCTTTTCTTCGATCGGCTCCAAAGACATTGCGGATGCTGCCAAATATTCCGCCAGTCCCACTCGCGTGCTTTCGCAGGAATTGGACCCCAATCCCAGGTCTTCCCATTTGATCCCGTATTGTCAAATGAGCCACTCGCCCATGCCGTAACGAGACAATGAAGCCAGATGGTTCCGCACTGACCAATTCTTCCACTATTTCACCGCTCATCATTCCTGGTATTGAGCCTTGCACGCTCGATGTTTGCCCGGGTATGAACGACGACACACTGGAAATGGTCTCCCAATAAACGATCTTCCCCCATTGGGAAGAGACTGCCACGAGCCCGGGTTCACCGGATGCCGACTTCGCCGTAAACGCCGCGAGAGGTAGGGGATCGTCAGTTGAGGCAGGAGGAAATGGTAGCTTGAAGGTAACGACATCTCGCGACGGAGGCGTCGATGTGCTCGAATTGTAAGGCCATATTAATGCATCGGTGTGGGTCAAAGCCAGCGCGTAGCCATATTCAGGAGATACGACACAGGAATAGGGGACGGTTGGACGTTGTCTGATCTGATCGGGAAGAGAAGGTAGTTGAACGGCGGTGTAGAAATCATTATTGGATAATGTCAAGGCCGCATTGGTTGATCCTGTTGCTCTGTCGGAACGTTTTTCAGTTTTTTTCGCTCCTCTCAGGGTCAATTTCCTCGTTGGCGCGGCTGGTAAAGCGTGACTATTGCTCTTTTCCTCGTTGGATTCGCGCCCTGCGACTTCGTTTATGCTTGCTTCCGCCAAAGGTTCGAATGTGTCTCGCCGGAGAGCCGATCGTTTTCGCTTTGCTTGGGGCAGTTTGATCGAATCTTCAGGGCCTGTTGCCTGTCGAGTTCTCTTCGGACGTAATGATTGTGGACGCGACGGATCCGGAGAAAACATCTTGAGCGCTTTACACCGAAGCCCAAAGCGCTAAGGAAGATGTTATGAATGATGCCTGAAAATGGTTTTGCTGGGGATGGATCATGGATGCGAATTTTGTCAGTACGACCTTTGGGCTGCGCTGCACCTTCGCGTCTGCCAAGACTGCGGCCACGGGGCGATTTCTCAGAGACCGCCGAAACGAGCCAACACCACCCTTCTATTGGACGCTGAGTGAAGATAAGTGATGACGGAAGTGAAGCGGAGTTCGTTCATAGCCGCATTGGAGAGATGACAAAGTTCCATTGAATGAAACACTTTCAGTCGTCCCGGTCAACAAATGACAAACCTTTGCAATCAGACGGACAGGATGAGTAAATGTCTACACGGGCAATTGCTAATTTCAGTGACGATTATAAAGAGCCGAGTGAGACTGGGAATCGTTCCACGGGAACGAAGTGCGAGGGTAAGGACAGTGTGTCAAGATTCCAGTGATCGAATTGATTCCTGCTATGCTAATACAAGTTCGTTCGAATTATTTCGTCCAGGATCCGCATCCCCTTTGATTGGGGCATGACCTGTTTGAGTCACAGTGTACATTGAGAGCACCATCCTGAGCGCCATATAAGAGACGGATCAAGCCATTCAAAAGGGATGTTTCGGTAGTATTACATCTTTTTGTCATCTTCATCGAGACTTCCTCCCAGAGTGCTGGTATCAGTGCTTTCTTCCTTGGACAAGGTAGAAGCCTTTTCGAGATCATCGTCGGTTGGCCCATGCAACTCTTCCTCAAAGACAGGATCAGCCTCGACAGTTTCGAATTTGGTCTTGAAGTCGCCCAGAGCTTGAGTGCTACTGTTGGATCGACGACGGTGGTTGGTGAAGTTGTAGCCATAGTCTTGACCTTCGTCACCTTCACGTCCCCTATCATTGGTATGAGTCTAGTGCATGCGCAGTCAAGGGAAGGGAAAAGGGGGGGGGGG